AAAGGAATTACAATTACATAAGTCAGGTAATTAAACATTTTTAACAGTATCATTAGCTTCCCTCATTTTCTCCCAGATTTTGCCCTCCTGAACCCTCCCAAATTATAAAGTTCATTTCCAACACAATGTCTAGTAAGTATTACTGCCGAATTAGTTCAGCCTTTGTTATTTCCTATGTGCTCTTAGTAGCCAAAAATCCTGCTCATCTACAACAGAATTATAACTATTACCATTGCTGGAGCTACTTGTGACTCATAATGTTGAGATTTTGTATGTTCTTCTAAAGTTCATGTGATAAAAGCTCCACTGAGTGACATGAATTGGAGTTGTTGGAACCTCTAAGAATGTACCCTTCATGCCAGCAGACCTAGCTCTGTGAGGTGCTGAGTGAGGCAATCTGGGAGAAGAGTTCAGGAAAACCATTATAAAGTAAAACTCGGCATGGCAGCAGAGCACCTGACATCCTAGATAAGGTGAGAAAGAAACTTTTAATAGGTGATCATGTCCTGGGAATTCACTTGGGTGGAAGCACGATCTCATCTCAAAAATGACCAGTGTGATAAAGAGCTGGACATGTGGCCAATGGCACAGCACTGCTTAGGGAATATGAAGCCTCGAGTTCAAACCCCAGCATGGCTAAAGAGATGGAACCTAATGATAGGTTTGTCAGCATACTGGGTATGTTAGTCAGACTTCGTGATGTTCTCATTGTGTACCTGACAGGAAAAAAAACTGATGGAGAAGGATTTACTTTGTTCATGGCTTCAGAAATGTGGTTTAGTTGATTCTAGGCTCCTTGTAAAGCAGAATATCTAGTGGTCAGGGGTGTGTGTGTGTGTGTGTGTGTGTGTGTGTGTGTGTGTGCGTGAGAGAGAGAGAGAGAAAGAGAGAGAGAGAGAAGGAGAGAGAGGGAGAGAGAAGGAGAGAGAGGGAGAGAGAAGGAAGAGAGAAGGAAGAGAGAAATAGAGAGAGAGAGAGAGAAGGGAGAGAGTGTATTCAGATACAAGAAACCTCCAAGAACCTGTCCCAAATGACCTACATTCTCCTACATTGGAAGCACCTTCCAAATCAGCACCACCATTTCATCACCTGGGACCAATTGTTCCATACAGCAGCCTGTGCTGTGCATGTAATTCCAAAAGCTTAATATTAGAAAGAGCACCTTGAAAGACACTGTGGAACCCTTAGCCATTTGCTTTCTTTTCTTTTGTTTCCTAGACCTAAGGTGATTGTTTTTGCACTGCTACATGCTTTTGTTAGCTATGATATACTCTGCAGCTATAGTCATAAAAGCAATAAGGATCTACAAGCTGTGAACTGGAAACTCCAAAACTATGAAATAAAGGTTTTTCTCTTTATAATTTGACTAAGACATTTTGTTATAGCAATAGAGAACTGATTGAGTCAATATTTTATTCTACAGAGCACTGTAGAGTTTTCATCAATGGGCATTCCTAGCAGTTTGGAGGTTCCTCAAAAGACTACACATAAAGCTTCCCTATGACCCAGTAATCCCATTTCTGGGATTTACCCAAGCGATCACAAACAAGGCCACACTAAAGCTACCAGCACAACTATGTTTATCACAGCATTACTCACCACAGCTAAGATATGAAACCAACAGAGATGCCCCTCAATAGGTGAATGTATCAAGAAAATGTGGTATACATATATATGTATGCATGTATATATACACACACATATAATGGAAGTCTATGCTTCCATCAAAAAGAATTACAATGCTCCATTTGTAAGGAAATGGAAGGACTTGGGGAAAATCATATTAAGTAAAGTAAACCAGACCCAAAGAAACACAGATCCTATGGTTTCCCTTATTTACAGTAATTAGTATATCTAAGATAATCTTAGCAGATGAGCAGAACAGCTCAATAGCTGTGTACATATTACTATATAAGATGATGCTAAGCGAAATAAACTCCGAGACATGGACACAAGAGGTTTTACCTTGTTGTTGTTATTATTGTGCTGAGTGATTTTTTTTCTTTTGTATGTTCTTCCCATCTATGGTATATCCCCTGTTGTCACTGTATTTGATTTTGGTACACTGGGATTGTATATATGTTTATTTGAAGTAGGGAAAGGAAGGGTAACAACAGAATAGTGATACAAAGGTCAATGGGGGGAAAATGCAACAGCAATATATACAAGACAGTATGTTAGGAATGATTTGTACAACTTCAGGAGGCTAAGGGGAGGGAAAGTAGGAGAAAAATGAAAGAGGGGTAACAAGTTTAACAAAAAAATGTACTTATTACCTTACTTATGTAACTGTAACCCCTCTACATCACCTTAACAATAAAAAATGGGGCATTTCTGTGTTCCTAATATAGACCTATTACTTTTCCAGGGCTATAAGCTTTAACAGCAGCAATGCTACCACTCGACACATTAACTTGTGGTGGTGTATATCCATACAAAGGAACAAACAAATAGCAATGTTAGGCACATGCTTCTTTGCAGGTAACCATGAAATTAAGATTTGGATATGACGTGTTGAAATAGAACTGAGACTCATACAACTGCTTTGCTGCTATAGAAAGGCACAGATGTGGTTTGTTTAGTACATTAAGCTTTCACAGAAATTCCATATGTCAATCGTGTTGAGAAGTATGACTGGAGAAAAAAAAAATAACAGAGTCAAAACTCACAATTCAACTTAAATACCATCTTACGAGCAACTGTTTGTAGTTACTTGAATAAAAATATTTAAAATAAAATATGTAAACTCAACATTAATGTTGTACATTCAGTGTCTCCTGCTTCTAGTAATGTGCGAATGCCACAGAGCTATAAAGAAAGTTTATTCATGTTTCAACCTTGAACTAAACTAAATCAAGAATTCAAAAAGAAAGAAAATTTTATTTCATCATTAACAAATCACTGCTCCCAAGTGATAAACAATGAAGGCTAAACATCCATAATCATTAACTACTCATGAATTAATGAACTAAATTCTTCTAGCATTCTCCATTTATAGTGCTCTACTAATTCTCTGAACAAGACTCAAATGTCTTTCCTGAGCTATGTGTATTTTCCATGATTTTACTTAAACATATAGAATAGCCATACTTTTATTCAAATGAACTCAACACTTAAGGAATTATCATCCATTCATCTCTCATCTTTCCTTTGCCCTGGTTGACAATGTAACTTTACACTGAGACTTTCTCCAGTCCCAGAATCTACCACTTCCCCAAGGAATAGCTAGCTACATGAATTTCAAGATATATGTCTACTGAAATACAAAAATAATAATAATCAGGAGCTTGAATAATAATTAATATCCCTTTCTATTATTTTGCTTAACTGAGGTTTAAACTTAGAACCTTGTACTTAGTAGGAAGACACTTAAGCAGACTTTTTATTTTTGTGTCAGTTATTTTTAGGTAAGGTCTCATGATATTGGTCCCAGAAAGCCTCAGACCACAAGTCCATCTTGAAAACTAAGCAATGATCATAAAATGTTTCATAATTTGTCAGAGAAATGGTTTATTGTAGAGAATTGATAGCTAAAAAAAGAAAATTTCATTATTGTCAGTTGATTCTGATTCAAACTCTAGCAAGTTAGCTGGGATAAAGTTTAAGTTTGGGTTTGCTTGCTTCATATAGATTTTTTTCCATAAATGTAGATATATTTTTAATTTAAGAGCCACATTGTTGCTTTTGTTTTTCTACAAAATCTTTGAATATATGTAAATTAATTAACTTTCCATACAGAACTAAAATATTAATTTTTGGTATGCTGTATAAGAATATTTGTATTTTCAACATAGTGTCTTGTGTATACAAGATGCAGGGCACCGATATCAAATACAGTGAAAACAAGGGTTATACCATGGGGGAAGACCATGCAAAAGAAACAAAAAAAAATCACATAGTACATTTTAAGTACATTAAAAACAAAAGCAAGAAAGAAAAAGCCAGTTTTGTCCCTATCTTGGGGTTCATTTCACTTAACATCATCTTATATGGTTATACTTACATAGCTTTTGACCTTTTCTACTTGTGCTAGACTTATATTAGTTATTGCAAATAAGGAAAACCATGGGACCTATGAACTTTGCAACTTGCGGCGGGGGGAAGGAGGAGTTGGGAAGGTGGGGAGGGAAGAGATGGTAGGGGAAAAACAAAGGAGGAGAACAATCCTCAATAGGAAATGTACTCATTACCTTGCTCGTATAACTGTAACCCCTCCATATAGTATTTCTACAATAAAAAACATATAAAAAGAATATTTGTATTTATTGCAGTATTTAATTTTCTTCCAAGTCAGAAAAATGCCCAAATAACTTAAGATTGGAAGTCGACCTGTGGCTCAAATGGTAGAGTGGTAGTCTTGAGCTACAAGAGGTCAGGGAATGCCCAGGCCCTAAGTTCAAGATGAGGACCAGCACCACCGCAACTGTGAACAACAACAGTAAGATTAACAGAATTAAGATTGACCTTAGGTGATATAAGACAAATAGCTGCTTTTATTCTCTCACAGCAAGGATAGTTTAATAGTTTCATAGTTTCATCTATAGATGAAAGTGATATTGTAGGATCTTAGAGACCCATGTAAGAGGTTTCAAAACCCTAGTGGAGTCCAACACCAAAGAAGAGTATTTAGAGAAGGTAGGTTCCATGTCTAGGGGCAGGCTCAATGATATTCATCATGGATAGAGACTGAAACTGTCACATCTAACTATAGACTCATTTCTGACCATGTTTGACTATATTCTGCAACTAACCCAACTGCTATGGAACCTACATGGAGCCAGATTCTTTATGTGCAGCCCTGTTCTCATTCCTCCCTACCCAGTTAAGTGCAGCAAGTCTCTCTCTAGGTACTCAGTGTAAGCCAAACTCACCTGTGCCCTTACTAATAGGTCCATACCCTGAAGACTATATTATACAATCTGAGTATTCTTCAGCTCGTGTTTCAGGCCTGCTTAGCTATGGTCTCTGAGACAGATACTTCCATTTCAGTATTTCAAGACCCATAGTATCCCTCCCAACGAATGATAGTCCTGTCATCCAGAATCAACTCAAGGCCAGCTATAGCCACATTATCCTGTTCTAGCATGCTAACTATGATTCTAAAGGTAAATTGATTAAAATCCTCCAATTGAAAGACTCAAAGAAACTGAAGAATAAGAACAAGGCAACCCCAAGCTAATAAATGAAATATACACCCTAAAGATTAGAGCAGAAATACGTGAAATACGGGAGACTAGAAAAATAATTCAAGAAATCAATAAGAGGGTTTATCGAGAAGATAAAATGTAACAAATCTTCAATTTCATCAGCTGAGAAGAGAAAAAACATAAAAAAGAAACCAAAAGCTGAGTAATTACAATGGATATCTTGTAAATGCTAAGAGGTACACAATACTGCTATGAATATCCCCACATTTTGACAGTTGTAGCAGCTTCTCTAGGGCAGTGAAGTGGATTGCCAAGAGACTGTGGGTCAAGCACTGGCCTAGCTACTCAGGAGCTGAGATCTGAGAATCAAGATTTGAAACCACTCTAGGCAGATCAATCCATGAGACTCTTATCTCCAAATAACCAGCAAAAAGCCAGAAGTAGAGGCATTGCTCAAGCAGTGGCGTATGAGCAGTGATCAAAGACCTGAATGACAGTGCAAGGCCCTAAACTCAATCCCGATTTCTGACATATGAAAATAAAACAGAAAAGGCTGGAAGGTATAATGTTTATTGAAATTAAGTAACAGGGGCAGATAAACTTGCCATAAGGCTGAAAGTCTAGTAGCAATCTCAAGGCACATGGGGGCCAAAAGTACCACTCCCTGGTCCACAGGTAGCATGCATGGGCCAACATTGCTGCTGTTATCCAGTAAACACTGGCTGGACCAGGAACACTAGTTCTCTCCCCACTATCTGGTGCCATACCTGATTACTATAGGTTGAAGGGATTTAAAACAGCAATATCATTACTTTAGCTTGTTTATATGATCAGCATTCTAAAGAATAGCTGAATAGTTTTAAGCAGAAAAGCAAGATTTGTTCTTGATAATACTAGTTTGCCCTAGTTCCCAGCATACATACTCTCCAAGTAGTCCTTATCCCAACATTTCAATCTCACCCTGATTTCATTGTCTCCTTGACTTGATGTGGGTCTTGATCATGAAAAGGAGCATTGTAGGGACATGGTTTTCTCAATAATTGTGCACAGATACAGTCCTAGATAGGTATAGCCTACCATGAATGAGTCACAGAAAAAAATTGGCAGAGCTCACTAATAAAATAATTTTGTAAGTAATCAAATATCTCTAAATGAAGCAAGGCCTAGGACTAGATGGTGTCAACAGTGAATTCTATCAAACATTTCAAACACATTTTCAAAGTTAACATTAGCCTAATATGAGATAAATAAGGACAGGGCCCAACTATCAAAATTAAGGCCTAATATCCATGATGAACGTAAGTTAAAATCATTAACAATATTAGTAAACTAAATTTAATAGCATATTAAAAGCATTATACATCACAATCAGGAAGAATTTATCTCGTGATGAAAGAATGGTTTGACCAGTAAACGTGATTCTCCATGTTATCAGAATGAAACATAATAACCATGATTATCTCAGTCAATACAATCAAATGAAACAATTCAACACACTTTCTCTGAAAGAAGCTTTTCAGCAATTAAAGGTTGTATACAACGAACCTATACTCAACATCAGCCTAAAGATCAAGTATACCTTTGTCTCCACAATCATCAATCAAAAAGGAAGTTTGCTTTTGCTGTATCTAGTCAATATAGTATTAGATAGGTTTTTCAGGGAAATTAGGCAAATTGAAAGGAAAAAAAGTAAAGTAAGAAAGGCCTCTAAATCAGAAAGAAATTCATTTCTGTTAGCAGATCATACCATCTTATTCAGCCTATCCACCAAGCCTCTCTATGCGTTTAAGGCTGCAAACTATCTATGTGTGATTCTTCATGGACAATGATAGAATTGTTTCTGGTCTTTTTCATGTTACACAGACTTGTTCCTTTTGAGAAAGAATGAGGCTCAGGCTTCACAGGGATCTCTGGAGAATAAAACTAATCAGACATACACTGAATAGCCAGCCATTCAGTATAGCTGGAAGGAGAATTGATGCTAGCAACTAAGTACAAATGGATGGGTTTTCAGAAGTAACAAACCTCGAGAATAAATAATGGATTCATGTATGTGAAATAATTTCCACTGGTGTAGTGTGGGGCTCATACTTGGAAGTTGGGAGTCATCATATTCTTGCTGTTTTGTGACTGCTTTTTTGTTGTTGTTAATGTTGGGTGTTGTATGTCTTTTAACTGACTTGCTCCCAGAATTATTCATGCAAAATAGGGTTTATTTTTTTCACCCCAGGATACTTGGCATTGTCTGGAGATCTTTTGCTCATCACAAACCAGAATGTGTCTGGTATATTGAAGTCATGAGTGGAAGCCATTGATTAATTTGGTGGATATTTGAAATCTTGGGTAAGTTGGTGCTATGATTACTGGATAATTAGGACATGTTTCACACATGCATTTATTTATGTATTAAGAGTAACATGCATTTATTTACTTAATATTAGTGTTTCAAGTTTTCTATATATTTACTTCTAAAAACAATGGCTTAAAACTCACTGTAAAACTCATTGGCAAAGAAAGCATTCAGTCATTATATCAATGTAAGAATACTATTACATTAATGCAAGCAAACAAATAAATCTTAAGATTGATCATTTTTACCTTCAGAGATAATAAATTTATCTTAAAGATAACATGTATCATTAGAAACTTTAGAATAATGTTCAAAATAATACTAATTATCTGTATCTCAGCATTCAACTAAAAAAGATCCTATTTGATAACCTGGGAAGCCATTCAAGTATCAGTTGCTTTTGTAGTTGTTACAAGCTTCCAGCTGGTAGAACAGCAGCCCCAAATAGACAGATGTTCTGAATTTCTCATTGGGGAATAATGATCTTAATATGCACCTCACAGCTGTTTGGAGTGGAGCAAGTGCTTCCTTGGCTGGGGCTTCTCATGTCCATCTGTGGGGCTGGCCAGTTGCCTGCTCAAATTGGTCAAATGTTTGCAATGAGGCATTGGTTTGAAACTTTGAAAGACTTACATGGATAGTCTGAATTTGATTAAAAAGTGAACATCATCCCAATTTTTTCTCAGTAGTGTCATTTAATGCTTTCATCCTCTAATCATAGATTCTATGGCCTAGGTACTTTCTTCTTATTCAAAGAAAATGATCAGGATATATTTTAATTTAGAGTCTCTGCACATTTTGTTAATAAACAACTTGCAAATGGAATAAATTACCTACTTGGAGAATATTGCTTTCATTCACGAAGTCATTTAAAGAAACTGTGTTGATAAAATTTACTAGTTCACCCACAAACTACATCAACAATAACAACTTTCTGTTCCTAATGTCATTAATTTAACGATACCAAAGGTTTATTAGATATTAAACTAACAAGGAACCATGCCTTTCTGAAGCCGAGAAAGACACTACTGCAAATCTCACGAATCTCTCTCCTTCTTATTAACCTAATTACTTAAGGTGATATTTGAAAAAAACTGGATTAGCTGATTTGCATTGAAAGTGGATTACAACCAATGAATTGGAAAGAGAATAAAAGATAGCATAGAAAAAGGTTGTGCTTCTACTGAAGGCTCCATAGGAAGGATATGAAGAGCGGTTGAAGGTTTCCTAGCCATGTGATCTGTAAGTACTGTTCTCCTCTCTGTCTCTCTGTCTCTGTCTCTCTGACTCTCTGTCTCTCTCTGTCTCTCTCTGTCTGTCTCTCTCTCGGGTTTCAACTCAGGACCTCATGTTCTCCCTTTTTTTTTTTTTTTAACTCAAGGCTGTCACTCTAATACTTGAGCCATACCTTCACTTAAGGCTTTTTATTTTTTTGAAAGCTTTGGTGCCAGTGCTGGGTCCTGTCCCTGAGTTGTTTTTGCTCAAAGCATTCTATTACTTAAGCCACAGCTCTGCTTCTGACTATTTATTTATTTAATTATGGTGGTTAATTAGAGATAAGAATCTCACTGACTCTCTTGTCTGGGCTGACTTGAACTGAGATCCTCAGATCCCAGCCTCCGGAGTAGCTAGGATTACAGATATCAGCCACTCAGGCCAGCCTACTTATGGTTGATTCTTTGGAGATAAGAATGGGCATCCTTCTATTCAACAACAACAATAAAATAATCTATTTCCCAAAGTCTCATGGACTTACGTTCTTGGGCTGACTTTGAACTACAGTCCTCAGATCTCAGCTTCTTGAGGAAATAAGATTGAGGTATATTTCTAGATCAACTCAATTTCTGATGGTCCAGTGGCCATGGGCCTGTTTTAAGCTCATTAAAAAGATTGTTGGTCACTTTTCTCAGGCTTGAACAAAAATTTTAAAAAAATGAAAATATCTGTGAAATATACATGGAAAGGAAATAATATTTGAGAATCAAGAGCCAAGACTTTTTTCTTACAGTGGGAGTAAAAATTATAACTTTGATTATTTAAAGCTAAACTCTGCTACAATATAGTGTTTATTGATCCAAAAACCTCAAGGGACAGTGGTTTGAGAGGGCTTTCTATCTATATATTCTTTAAATTAATGATCCAAAATTTTATTAATTTAATTTCTACTTTAATAACAGTAATAAAGACAATATCATATAAAAAATATTTAATTTTGGAAGTGATGATATTGAAGTTTTTGTAAGTAGCAATTGTAATTATACTGTTTTGGAATATATATATATATATATGCATGTATTTTTTCTCTCTTTTTATATACATATATGTGTATATATGTAGAGAATGAATATATATAGATATATAAATATATCTATATCTACCTATCTATCTATCTATCTATCTATCTATCTATCTATCTATCTATCTATATATATATATATATATATATCTGAGATAGATTTTCTTTTTGGCTAAGCTGGAGATAGAACCTGAATCCTGCATATGCTAGGTAAATACTCTACCAGTGACCTCAAGCTTCAGCCCTATATGTGATACAATATAATATAATTTAAACTAAGCCTTAAATCATTACATATTTCAGGTGAGTGCTGGTGGCTTACACCTGTAATCCTAGCTACTCAGGAGGGTGAGATCTGAGGACCCCAGTTTGAAGCTATTAGACTCTTGTCTCCAATTATTTGCCAAAAAAGCTGGAAATGGACTTGTGGTTCAAGTGGTAGAGAATTAGCCTTGATCTGAAAAAGTTTGAGGATATCACCCAGGACTTGAGTTCAAGCCCAGGACCACCAAAAATAAATAAGTAAACATAAACATAAATAAAAATTGCATGCTTTCGATTTTTAGTAGACTTTAAACTTACATTATATCTCCTTTCTCTTCATTTCAAAAATTTCCCTACAGGAGTCAACATTCTATTTACTTGATCAGAGTATCCCTGATGTTTTTAGAAAATGCTTAGAGAATTTTAAATTGAAACAGATTATTCTATGTAATATTTCAAAATATTTTTAAAATGTAACAGTAATTTAATTTTACTTTCATGATCTTTTTTTGGGGGGGGAGGGGGTCCAGTCGTGGGGCCTGAACTCTGGGCCTAGGCACTGTCCCTCAGCTTTTCAGCTCAAGGTTAGCGCTCTACCACTTGAGCCACAGCACCACTTTCGGCTTTCTTTTTTTTTATGCTTATCTGGTGCTGAGGAATCAAACCAAGGGCCTCATGCATGCAAGGCAAGCACTCTACCCCTGAGCTATCTTCCCAGCCCTACTTTCATGATCTTAATAAATGTTAATACCCAAAGTAGAATATTATCAAATTGATAGACTTTGGAGGGTCATATATGATTTAGTTGAACATGAAAAGAAAACAACTTAGGCCATGTAGTGTAGGTCAGTGATAGAGCATTTGATTAGCCTGTGTGAATTTCTAATACAGTAATAAAGACTGAAGTTAAGGAAACTTGGATTTGAGATGATTTAACAAAAATGAATTTTCAAGAATTTTATTTTTAGGCATATATTCTATTTTGTGCTTGTGGTCATATGTGCCCACAGAAAATATTTTCTTCCCACCAAATGGCAAATACTTTGATGATTTATAGTGCAAACATGAAAAGGAAATGTCACCACTCTAGTTTAGCAGTTGACGGTTTTCCATGACATCCCCCATTGTCCTGTGTGGAAAATTCACCACTGAACTATTTCAGCATTGAAGATGTATTTACAGAATCCTCATCAAAACCTCTGTCTGGCATTAACATGCTATTAATAGGAGGTAGGAGAAAACAAAAGTAGAAAATATAATGCCCTTTCCTCTGAAATAAAATCAAGAGTATAAGTATTTATGAATGACATTGAAGTCAGTGGTAGGATCTGAGTGCCAGTGGCTCATTCCTGTAATCCTAGCTACTCAGGAGGCTGAGATCTGAGGATGAAGGTTCAAAGCCAGCCATGGCAGGAAAATTCAAGATAAGACTGTTATATCCAATCAACCACTCAAAAACCAGAAGCAGCACTGTGGCTCCAGTGGTAGATCACTAGCCTTGAACACAGAGGTTCAGAGACAGAGTCTAAGGCACTGAGTTCAAACCACACAATCAATAACAATAACAAAAAAAGTCTGTGATTGGTTCATAATTGAGAGTAATGAGACTCACAAGAGCCCTGAAGATCCTTTGTAGATGAGTATTTCTAGACTAAGGAGAGAATCTTTGAATGAGACATTGCAAAAGCTGGTTAATAAAATAGTATAGGCAATGATTTCTTAAATGTAGATACTTATCTGCTTTACTGGGTGGAAGAGCTAGTCTCTCAGAGCAGATCACATATTTTATCCATATTGATGAGATTGTCTGAGAGGAAAGAAGGTGAGATTTCACTGAGATAAAGACTATTGAAGAACAGTGCTTGAGGACTATCGATACCAAATTTCAAACTCTACTACAAAGCCATAGTAATCAAAACAGCTTGGTACTGGCACAAGAACAGACCCCAGGACCAATGGAATAGAATTGAAAACCCAGAAATGAACCCAAAGACCTATAGCCATCTAATCTTCCATAAGGGAGCTAAAAAAATACAATGGAAGAACACAGTCTCTTCAGTAAATGTTGCTGGCAAAATTGGTTAATCACTTGTAGAAAACTAAAGCTAGAACCTTATATATCACCCTGCACCAGAATCAACTCCAAATGGATCAAAGACCTCGAAGTCAAAGCAGACACCCTGAAAACATTACAGGATGGAATAGGAGAAATCCTAGGTCTCCTTGGCTCAGGCCAAAATTTTCTTAATAGAGACCCAGAAGCACAACAAATCAAAGAAAGGTTGGACAAATGGGATTGCATGAAGCTGCAGAGCTCCTGCATGGCAAAAGACATAGCTAGCAAGATCAATAGAAAGCCCACGGATTGAGAGAAGATCTTTACTAGCCATACAATGGACAAGGGTCTCATATCTAAAATATACCTGGAACTCAAACAATTAAATTCCCTAACAACAAATCCTCAAAGAAACAACTTCCCAATAAATAAGTTGGCTAAAGACTTACAGAGAAAATTCTCTGAAGAGGAAAGCATGATGGCCAATAGACACATGAAGAAATGCTCAACCTCCCCAGCCATAAAAGAAATGCAAATCAAAACAACATTGAGATACCACCTCACCCCAGTTAGAATGGCAAAAATCAAGAAGTCTAATAACAACAGATGCTGGAGGGGATGGGGACAGAAGGGAACCCTACTGCATTGTTGGTGGGAGTGTAAACTTGTTCAACCACTTTGGAAAGTAGTATGGAGGTTCCTCAAAAGACTCCACATAGAGCTTCCCTTTGACCCAGCAATCTCACTTTTGGGCATTTACCCAAATGATCACCAATAAGACCATACTAAAGCTACCAGCACAATTATGTTTATTGCAGCATTATTTACCATAGCTAAGATATGGAACCAACCCAGATGCCCCTCAGTAGATGAATCAGGAAAATGTGCTATATGTACACAATGGAATTCTATGCCTCCATCAGAAAGATTGACATTGACCTGTTTGTTAGGAAATGGGAAGACTTGGAAAAAAATTATATTAAGTGAAGTAAGCCAGGCTCAAAGAAACATAGGTCCCATGGTTTCCCTTATTTGCAATAACTAGTATATGTCTGAGTCGAGCAGAAAAGGTCAGATAAGTTGATGTTAGGCGAAATGAACCCCAAGATAAGGACTCAAATGGTTTTTCTTTCTTGCTATTGTTTCTAACATATTTATAAGATGATTTCTTTGTTGCTTTGTATGTCCCTCCCCCCACGGTATAACCCCTGTTTTCATTGTATTTGATGTTTGTATATGTTGTGGAGGGGAAGGAAAAAACAAATCGTTTAAATAGGGATACAGGTGGACCCATCGCAACAATGAGAGGTACAAGATGTTATGTCGAAAAACGAACTTTACAACTTGGGCAGGGGGGAGGGGGAGGCTGAGGTCAAGATACAAAGTTGGAGGCAACAATGCTTGATAATAAATGTACTCATTAGGTCAGAGTCACTTCTTAGGAAGGTGGATAATGGGTCCTCTGGAAGATCCCTATTGCCAGTCAAGTCCTGCACACAATCTCAAAAGGCACATCGTGGATGCCAAAGTTTGCTGCTTTGTCCTCTCGACTAAACCCTTCTGGGAAAGTGTGAGATGGGAGGTTTTCTCTCTTTGACTCTTTCTCTGCCCAGAGGTGCAGGAGGGGTCTTCGGAACTGTCTTTACCCATAAGACTCCCAAGGCAGATATGCTCCAAGAGAGCAAGGGTAGAAATGAAACTGCCCAAGGCAGGATTGGGAGCCTATTGTTTTCACACTTCCAGGTGTGAACCAGTGATCACCTCATTCACCAATCATCTCTGTTATTTATGATCTATTCATCCTGAGACTGCCCATCTTGGAAAGCAAGTTGACTGCCATGATAAAGGCTAAGCTTGACTTCAAGGTGAAGACCTTATTTCTTCCTGAGTATTGGAGAAACCCAGACCCATCAGTCCTGCAGCTTCTATGATGGACGGCTGGAAAAAAATGAGAAACTTTGAGCTAGAGATCAAGATCATTGGCCCTTCAATATTTCAAAATCAGAAGCTGCTTTTGGCTTGTCTGGGGGATCACATGATGCTCTTCACGTTGACATTTCAGTCTCTTGAGTGAGACCCATCAACTCCTACTTCTGCAGTAGAACATTGTTGGTTTGTTTTTCTTTTTTGAATTTTCTTATACTACTGAGGATAGAACTCAGGGCTTCACACTTGCACCCTTCCACTTGAGCTATATTCTTACTCATTTTGCTTCTAGTTTTTGCTTGTTTGTTTGTTTTTTCTGATAGGATCTTGTGCTTTTGCCCAGACTGGTCTCAGAATGGGATCCTCTGACATCATCTCCTGAGTAGCTGGGATTAAAAGTATACTTCACCATTCCTGGCTTGCTTTTGAGACAGAATTTCACTAACATTTTCCTCAGCTGTTCTCAAATTATAGTGTTATTATCTCTACCATGGGAGCAGCTGGGGTTACAGTTATGCACCATCATGCTCAGTCTGATATTTTGTTTTACTGTAAAATTGCAATAGCGTCTTCTTAGGGTATCTTTGTGTTATTTCTGTCACCCCCTGCCATGTCTGGCACAGCCTCACAGCAGCACTCCACATTTATTTTCACCATTATTTTCTTAGCGTGGCCTTTCTACATTGCTAGTTCATTGCTGACCGATTCTTTGAGCATTTCCAGAACCTTAGAACTCAAATGTAACTATGTTTGATATTTCGTCTTTAAGAAGAGACAACACTACTGTCCATGATGAGCATATTTGATTGTGTTTAGTCTGCATGAACATTTCTTTCAAAAATGAAATTAAATTAGTGGTTTTAAATAATATCATGTATATATAAATGAGAAACTCTTGCTCCTAAACAACAATGATTTTTAAATCAAACATGACCTTAACATTTTTGAAATTGCTGGGTTTTTTCCCTTTACCTGTCAACAGTATAAAATTCCTATATTAGTGAAATATTGTGAAATACCTCACAGCTGTTGGAGTTGGCTTCAGCTATTGGTTTTGAACATGGAGAAGAATAATGAAAGGGATGACATCAAGATATGGTGTACTTATAAAGTGATTTGTTAAATGGTAACTCCTTTGTACAACTACTTAAAGATAATTAAAACATAATTTTTCATTAAAAAAAAGAAATGTACTTATTACCTTGCTCATGTAATTGTAACCCCTCTGTATGGTATTTTCACAATAAAAAAAGTATTAGTAATAATAAAAAAGACTATTCAGGATGTGAAAATCTACTACAGTTGGAGTGGCTGTAAGATCTCTGTCAGATCTAGACATTTAGCCCCTGATTTGCAATCCTTGCTTACAAATAGTTGCCTTCCTCAAAATTCATACTTAATAACAGCTTTTAAGTTCTAGGTGGAAGACTCAGCTATTCTGACAGGAATCCAACTAGGAATAAATAAGTTAACATTTAATTCAAATCTCAAATTATATTGGGAATGAGGGGATTACCTCAGGATAGAGATAGATTCAACCATGATTCTTACAAGTAAAAAGAAATAACTAGCTGATTAAAACACCTGAAATGACACTCTGCTGGCAAGATCAAATTTGGAAGCAGCAAAAGTCAGTTTTGATCCTAGGCCTTCTGGCCAGTCAGCACAGCTTACTTCCTGGAAAGTTTAAACAAATCATGGTGGTTTTCTTTTTGTTTGTTTTGTTGTTTTGTTGGTGCTTAATTCAAGATAAGAGTCTCTTGGACTTTTCTGCCAAGCTGTCTTCAAATTGTGATCCCCATATCTCAGCCTCCTTGAGTAGTTAAGATTACAGTTGTGAGCCACAAGCACCAGCAGAAATCACATTTTGGACAAAGAGAATCCCAAACAGATCTTGAAGGAGTCAGCTATAGGCCATCGTGTATTTAAGGAAAAAATTTTGTTTACAAATTGATATGTATTAATGTCAGCATAAAATATTTACTTGGTAAATGACAATGGTCCAATTATTAGGCTGAGGTTCAAGAGCAGGATTTATTCCTTGCAAAGTAACTCCAACAGGGGAAAATACAGGATATCAGTTCCTGGAACACTGGCTTGACTTTCAGTGGGAATGAAGACAAAGATAACAATAGAGGGCCCCAGAACAACAATAGAAGACATTCAACAGAGAACCAAGCATATGGTAATACTGTTTCTTTGTTTCCTTTTACCATACTGGGCATTGAACTGAGGTCTGCAAGTATTCTGTTAATTGATGCATGCCTCCAATCTTTTTGCTTTCAGTTGGTTTTTCAGGTAAGTCTCATGTTCACTTTGCCCAGGCTAACCTCAAGTGATGAGGCTTCATGAGTAGCTGGGATAGATTAGTTACAGGCATATGCCACCACATCCAGCTTGTTTTGTTTGTTTTTGTGCTGGTCCTGGGGCTTGAACTCAGGGCCTGGACACTGTCCCTCAGCTTTTGTGCTCAAGGTTAGTGTCCTACCATTTTGAGCAACAGTGCCATTTCTGTTTTTTTGATAGGTAATTGGAGGTATGAGTCTCGTGGAATTTCCTGCCTCCACTAACTTTAAACCAAGATCCTCAGCTCTCAGCTAGGATTAGAAGCATGAACCCCCAAGTTCCATCCCCAGCTTGTTTGTAGACACAAATTTTTCCTAACTTTGCCTGGGTGTGGCCTCAAATACTATCGTCCTTTGTCTGACTGTCCAGTAAGAATCTCAGGGGCTGGGAAGGTGACTCAGTGGTAGACCACTTCCTTGCATGCATGAGGCCCTGGGTTCAATTCCTCAGCACCACATAAGCAAAAAAAAAAAAAAAAAAAAATCCAGAAGTGGCACTGTGGCTCAAGTGGTAGAGTGCTAGCCTTGAACTGAAAAGCTGAGGGACGGTGCCCAAGCCCAGAGTTCAGACCCCACGACCAGACCCAAAAATAAAAATAAATAAATAAATAAATTCAAATCCCAACCAGGTGAATTCTTCATAAACCACTTTAATAGCTTTAGGAACTTGGTATTGAATTGTATTAAAAAATGAAACAAGTCCACAGATTTCAGTAGTCAAATTATAAAGACTTTAGGCAGATCACCATAATTGCTATGAATAATTAAAACTATAAGCATTTTTCATCATTTTTTTCCATCCACGGAGTTCCAAAGCTACCCTTCAGTGCTTTCTATCTTCGATACATGACACTAAAGTACTGTGGGTGCTGCAATCAGTTATGGGTTTCTCAAACTATTTTAATTTGAAAACTCAGGAGATTGGAAGAAAATAATGAAATATTTTATAGCAGAACATCTGGCACATTTCCATTTTAAATGTTTAAACAATTTAATATAACAAAAATGAATGTATGACCAAATGGAACAGAAGACCTAGAAATAAACCCACAACCTTTGCAATCAGCCATCAGCGGTGGGACCACCACTAGGATAAAGATTTTTATCAAAACCCTTACGGGGAAAACCATCACACTCAATGTTGAACCCTCGGATACTATAGAAAATGTAAAGGCCAAGATCCAGGATAAGGAAGGAATTCCTCCTGATCAGCAAAGACTAAACTTTGCTGGTAAGCTGCTGGAAGATGGATGTACTTTATCTGACTGCAACATTCAAAACGAGCCCATTCTTCATCTAGTATTGAGACTTCAGGGTGGTGCTAAGAAAAGGAAGAAGAAGCCTTACACCACTCCTAAGAGGAACAAGCATAAGAGAAAGAATTGGATTTCCTAAAATACTGTATGAAAATGGCAAATTCTCTGTCTTCACTGAGAGTGCCCTTCAGATGAATGTTGTGCTGGAGTTTTTATGGCTAGCCACTTTGACAGACATTACTGTGGCAAGTGTTATCTAACTTAGTATTTCAACAAGCCAGAAGACAAGTGATTGTGTATGAATTAATAAAAGGCATAATCTTAAAAAAAGAAAAAAAGAAATAAATCCACAAATACCTACCTGAGGATAAGCGAGCCAAAACCAGGCTGAAAGAAAGACAGCCTCTTCAACAAATGATTTCTGACAAAACTGGATTTTCATATGCAGAAAAGTGAAACTAGCCCCTTACGTATCACTTGCAACAGCATCGATTCAACTTGGATTGAAGACCTCAGTGTAAAACCAGAAACCATGAAACTATTGCAGGAAGGAGTAGGGGTCACATTAGTGCTCCTTGGAATGAGAAGAAACTTTCTAAGGAAAAATTCAGACACACAACAAGTCAAACTGGATAATTTAAATATTAAGCTATACTTAAATAGTGACAATGATGGGAATAAATGAAAAGTTGATGGAATTACATATTTTTCAAAATTCTTCTTCCTGGAAAATTATTTATTATTCTTATGCTCACCAAATGTTATGAGAGTTTCCAGCAAATTACACAAGATAAGATGTTCTCATTCTTATCTTCTTCACCTTCTCAGACTTCAACCAAATCACAATCTTTTAAGGTCAATATATTTAAGATAGAGCTTATAGAAAATATACAAGTTTATTTTTACACAATTTAATGTTGCACAATTTAAAATATTCCAATAAAGATTGTTATCTTGACTCTTCAAAAATGGTTGAATCGGCTTTAAATGTATGGAAAACTGAAGTTAGATTCGTATATATGACCCTGAACCAGAATCAGTTGCAAATAGATCAAAGACCTCAATGTAAGGCCAAATATACCATGAAAATATCCTGGGAAGGAATAGGGGAAATGCTAGGGCTCCTTGGTATAGGTTGAAATTTCCTAAGTGAAGATCCAGAATCACAACAAATTAAAGGATGGATGGATTAATGGCATTACATCAACTTGAAGAGTTCCTGCATGGCAGAGGACATAGCTCTCAAGATAAATAGCCCACAAAATTGGAGAAGATATTTACTAGCTAGGCGTCAGAGAAGGTCCTCATGTCTAAAATATACTTAGAGCTCAAAAAAATTACCCTCTCCCCCAAAAAAACAAATCCTCAAAGAAATAACAACTTAAATAATTAATGGGCTAAAGACTTAAAAAGCGACTTCTCAGAAGAAGTAAGAATGGCCAATAGACACATGAAGAGATGTGCAGCATCTCTGGCCATGAAAGAAATACAAATCAAAACAACATTGAGATTCCACCTCACCCCAGTTAGAATGGCCATTATCAAGAAAACTAACAATAACAAATGCTGTGGCATTATAGCAAAAGGGAATGCTACTACACTGTTGGTGAGAATGTAAACTTATTCAGTCATTCTAAAAACAGTATGGTGTTTTCTTAGAAGACTAAACATATAGCTACCCTATGACCCAACAATCCCACTCCTGGGCATTTATCCAACTGATCACAAAACAGGCCACATTAAAGCTACCATCACAGCTATGTTCATTGCAGCATTGTTTACCATAGCCAAAATGCCTCTAAGTGGACAAATGGGTCAAAAAATGTAGTGTTTATAACAATGTTGTTCTATGCTTTTATCAAGAAGGAATGATACTACAACATTCATAAGGAAAAAAATATATTATGCAAAGTAAGTCAGACCCTAATAAACATAAGTTGCATGTTTTCCCTCATTTTCAATAATTAGCATATGCCTATAAATTTATAAATAAACACAATAGATAATAAAAGACAAAAATTGGGCTGGGAAGGTAGCTCAGTGGTAGAGCACTTGCCTTGCATGCATGAGGCCCTGGGTTCAATTCCTCAGCACCACATAAGCAGAAAGAAAAAAGCCGGAAGTGGTGCTGTGGCTCAAGTGGTAGAGTGCTAGCGTTGAGCTGAAGAGTTGAGGGACAGCGCCCAAGCCCAGAGTTCAGGCCCCACGACCAGACCCAAAAAAAAAAAAATTACATTTGGACATGATAAGTTAAAAAGGACTCTAAACATTCACAAAATAAGACTAATAGAAGATATCCTCAGGAGAGAATCACAAAGGCTCAATAGTTACATGCATATGATCATATAAAATGATGATTGTAGAAATGAACTCCAAGACATGGAAATAAGATAATTTTTATTTTACTTTTGGAGTTTGTTTATTCCTTCTTTTGGTTTTCCCCTTTCTGTCCCTGTTTTGTTTTGTTTTCTTAATTTCTACACCTTTTGTCTTGTATAAGAGGATTTTTGTATGTTTTTATTATAGAATTATTGTACAGAGGGGTTACAGTTACATGAACAAGGTAATAAGTACATTTCCTATCAAGCATTGTTGCCTGCTCCTTTGTTTTTCCCCTACCATCCCTTCCCTCCCACTTCCACAACAGCTCCTCCGCAAGTTGTAAAGTTTGTTTTCAACTTAGTGTCTTGTACAATTCATTATTACAATGGGTCAACCTGTATCCCTATTTAACCATTTTGTTGTTTCCCTTCTCCTCCCCCAATTAGAGAAGTGCATATACAAGATTCAAGGCACCGGAATCAAATATAGTGAAAACAGGGATTATACCGTGGGGGTGGAACATACAAAGAAACAAAAAAAAGTCACATAGTACATTATAAATAAATTAGAAATAATAGCAAGAAAGAAAAAAATTGTGTCCCTATCTTAGGGTTCATTTCACTTAACATCATCTTCTATGGTCATGTGTACATAGCTTTTGACCATTTTGATTATCCTAGACATGTACTAGTTATTGCAAATAAGAGAAACCATGGAACCTATGTTTCTTTGGGCCTGGCTTGTATGTATGAAAGTTTATCTGATTTGGAGTGGGGAAGGGGAAAGCACAGAAATGATGAGACAACGGGTGAACAAATGCAGCAGTGATACTCACTAGACACTATGTTGAAAATAAACTATACAACTTGTTGGGGAGAAGGATCAGGAAGGAAAAAACTGGGAAAAAATGAGGGAAGAGGTAACACTGTTCAAAAAGAAATGTACTCATTACTTGATCTATGTAAGTCTCTGTACATCACCTTTACAATATTTTTTAAAAATAAAGATTATTGTCTTGATACTATTGAAAAGCAAACTTCTCTCTAATTAGTGCTGGCTAGAAATAGTCATAATATTACTCATGCAGATTTAATTAGGTCATATCTAAAAATAGTGTTTTTGTACACTCTAGCATTGACTTTATAAATTAATTCACATATGAAACTTTTTGACTTTTTTATTTCCTATTTAATAAATCATTTAACAATCGTATTCATTGACTATTTGATTCTGTAGTCTCAGTTTTGAATTCTAACATTCCACTCTTTTTTATATGTGATAGGCTTCTATCACATATCCTAAAGAAGAAAGTTCAGTTTCCTGATGATAGAATTACCATGCATATACCCTAAAATAGAACATGCACAACATATATAATGTATAGTTGCATGAGATATATAAAGTTATACATTTCATTTAATAACTGTTTCATCTCTACAAAGTGAAGAGGAATCTGTTCTTATAATCTCAGTGTGATTGTGCCCTTGTGTGCTCTTGTGTGCCATTAGTGACAAGCCTCCATATAGAAAAATGTTTTGGGCACAAGCTGTGATAACAAAGAATCGCATTTCTTCACATAGAATTGCTTGTACCCATCAATGACAAAATCTGTAGGAAATTCATTTCATAGCTCAGAGAATTTCTATGTCATCTTGACTTTTCTGTCTCCTGGTTCTTTAGTTCTGCTTTTGAGATTGCTTTGCTTATTCTTGTAAGTTTACTGCAGCCCAATAAATGTATTTGGTTTTGCAGTTAGACTCAAGAGATCTATTCTTATACCCCTTCCTCTCTTTATCCTAATTCCTTAGGGGATGACTACACATATTCATTGCTAAGTTAATGTCAGAGAATATTCACTTTTTCGGGGAATATCAAGATGGAGGTGTCAACAATAGTAATTTATTACTTCAGAGCTTTCATAAAGATTACATTGTTTTGATTATTATTGAATGTAACTTTTGATTCAGATATTTCCTTTTTAATTCACAGTGTTTCTTTTTTTTTTTTTTTTTGCCGGTCATGGAGCCTGAACTCTGGGCCTGGACCCTGTCCCTCAGCTCTTCAGCTCAAGGCTAGCGCTCTACCACTTGAGCCACAGCACCACTTCCGGCTTTTTCTGCTTATGTGGTGCTGAAGAATCAAACCCAGGGCCTCAGGCATGCAAGGCAAGCAGTCTACCACTGAGCCACCTTCCCAGCCCCACAGTGTTTCTTTAGATATATAAATTGGGATAGTTTCTGTTCTACAAAAATCAGACTTCAATTAGTGACAATGATGTACTGTCTTCTTCCTTTCTCATCCTATATCTTCCCTTTGGTTACTTTTCTGTACTTTGAAGATTGGGATGGTGAAGAAGATAAGAATGAAAACTTTTTATCTTGTGTAATTCATGGAAACTCTGATAACATTTGGTGAGCATAAATAATTATCCAAGGAGAAAGACTTTGAAATTTATGTGGTAAAATTCCATTGATTGCTCAAGTTTACTTTCATCATTGTCGCTTTTAAGTATAGTTTAAATTTTAAGTTATTTTTGTTTTTAATTATCATTGTAATAAATTGTGTTTGGATACATAGCACTTTCAATTGCATAAATTCTGAACATTGAAAAATGTTAAAGTTCAAAGAAAACATGAAATTTCATATATAATTGCAATTTGTATTCATTTCTTTCAAACTGATGCTTGAATAGATATTATGCTAATTAAATATAATTTTTCAAGCCACTTTCTAAGTTAATATGATTTTATCAAAACAGTTATGTTATATTTGCTATGTAATTTTAATGATGATAT